TTTTATACTTTGCAGCTTTGATTGATTTGCATTTGATATGGTTTGACATAGTCCACATTTGGAATTTATGCTGTTGATTTTATATTTCTTTATATTTTTAACCCCTTTAATTAATCTCTCTTCACTTTATACTTACCAAAGGTAACCAGCCGACTGGAGTTGCTTAACATTTAATTTCATTTCTTTAAGTAATTAAGCATTTTATCATTCTTTTTTGTTTTAAATTATTTGATCGTTTGTAACCTTTTTGTTTTCTTTTTGGTGTTGCTTTGAATCTCTTTTAAGATTTATTTTATTTTTATCTACATGTCTGTATATGCCCCTGTGGGAGTATATGCCTTGCAGGTGATATGTGTGTATGCTAGCAAAAGCCAGGAGATGGACTTAGATTCCCTGGAGCTGGAGTCCCAGGTGACTTTAAGCTGTCTGATGTGTGTTATAGGACCCTAACTTGGGTCCTCTGGAAATAAAAGAAGACCTTTTAACCGCAGAGCCATTTCTCTGGCTCCTTGATGATAGCAGACTGGCTCTTCTGTTGTATTTCAACATTTTACTATTGCTTTATTTTCTCTATTCTCTAAACTTGATTCTCTAAAGTTTGACTTTTGATTCAGAATGAATTTTAAGGTATAAGCATGTTTAACATTTGTTGTTTTTGAAATGTGCTTTTATTTTTTTCTTCATTCAATTTATTTTATATGTATGAGTGTTTTGCCTGCATACATGTAAATACACCTGTGCATGAAATGGCTGTGGAGATCAGAAGAGAGTGTTGGATCCCCTAGAACTAGAGTTACAAATGATTGATGACAACCATGTGGGTACTGTGAACTGAACCTGGGTCCCCTGCAAGAGCAGCCAGTACTCTTAACCACTGAGTCGTCTCTCCAGCCATTTATCTCATCATTTTCTGCTTATATTTTATGTTTTCCATAGGACAGAAGGTACATTTTTACAGTAAAATAGCCATCTATTACTTACAGGCAAGGCCTGTCTCTCTCCCTAATTTGAGACAGGTGTCTGTGAATGTTAGTCCTACCACTCACTAGCCATGTGATATTGGGGACCTCATCTGAGCCTGAGCTCACAAACTCTGAGAACTCTGAGCTCTTCTGACAGACCTCATCAAACAGATTGTCTCCCTTAACATATCCCAAAGTGTGCAGCATCCGATGAGATAAGAATTATCCCGTACTTCCCTTTCCCATTCAACGTTCCAGTTCACTAAAGTGAGACCCTTAATTTAGCTACATTCAGAAACCAGTAAAATTGTGAATAAATATTTCTCTGTAGCAAATATTGATAGTAATATGAAAGCATTGGAAGTCACCATGAAGAAACCATAGACTGAGCCCTGAATTTGCAGCCAGTCTATCATGTGAGCAGGAAAAGTTCTTTGATCACCCTGGACATCAATGCCTTCTTTTATGAAAAAAGCATTGGACAAGATTAACTAGGCAGCTCTTTGGCATTTACTGCCTGTGGTTTTAAACATTTCTACTCAAAGAAACACCATGAGATAGGCACAAATGTCTATGGGGGATGGCATCTTTTAACTGTGCTAAGTTGCAGGGGCTCAACAGAGTTTATACCCTATTGAGTACCAATTACATACTCTCCAATCACATGCCTTGGATGAGATAACAGTGGATTACTATAGCAACACGAATGCAGCTGTGCAGGTCCTTTGGGTCAGGTGGGTGACATACTTGCCATTGATGACACCATCTGGATTGAGCATAGGGATGATCTTAAACACGAAATTTTCTCTCAAGAGCTTTGCCACAGGGTCACTGCTGACCAGGAACTCCAAGGTACCCTTCATCACCCAGCTGGCATTGCTCTCCCCTGGGTGAACCCGGGCTGTGATCATCTGATATGGACGATGGCCTGCAAGAAAGGAGATAAAAGAGAATTAAAGCTAGATGTGTTTTCTATTTTCATCAACAGAAGCTCCACAGAGACAGAATTACACCTGGAGGATATGAAGTCCTAAATAGGCTGATTGCTTCTAATACATGTCTGATCTACATTTATCCCTTTTCCATCTGCCTCCATGATTTTCAAGACTCAAGAGACTATGAGGACATTAAGGCTCAAGGCTGTTATCAAAAGCAAAGCACTTGTGGTATGATAAAAAGCCACAAAGTAGATTTTAAATCCATTAACTCTCCAGAAACCATTAGCAAGATGTTGGATGTCAAAGATCTGAGACTGAATCTTATCTTCAACACTTATCAGCTTTGAGATTTCAGCTAAATGACTTAATTTCTTTGAGGTTCTTTCTTCATCTGTAAAATGGGGACATTTATAATGATGACTTCATGTATTTATTAAAGGAACAAAAGGATGTAAATATAAAGTGTTTAATATAGTTTCTTCTATTCAGACCATGTTAGTTCACTCCCTACTCAATTATAGTCTGTGGGGAGGGTGAACCCTTCCATTCCCTAGCAGAAATAGAAGGCAAGGACAGAAGTGACCGACAGGGAACTCCATGACTGAAAGACATTGAATCTGATCTTAAAAGAGATTTGATGAAAGAATGAAGCACCTATAGACTCAGTATTATGGTGACAGTACTTTCTTCACTCCATAAAGTGGGTAAAGGAATACTAATCACAGATAATCACTGACTGGATAGGTGTGTGGAGGATGCATCAATGATGGAAGACTGAGACACTGAAGCCCCCTATTACTGAGATGTATTCTTAGGTCATATGTGAGCTCAAGTGGAAAAGTAGGGTTTTCTTTCGTTTTTGTTTGTTCGGGTTTTGTGTTTTGTTTATTTGCTTATTTTGTCTTGTTTTGTTGGGTTGGGGATTGAACCTAGTGTTTGACACATGCTAGACATGTGTTCTGCTATTGAGCTGAAACTCCAGCCTGGTGAAGGTGCTTTGACTGACAGCTCGTGTGTATTCTCCATATGCTGAGAGCTAGTGGGGGAAGAAGGGAGCATCATCTCAGGAATTTACCTTGTCTACTATAAACTCATGGCCGATTCCATGGATGGATTTTTTTCTGACTCTTCTTCTTTTGTGACCTTTTTTTTTTTATTCCAGATTGCTCCTAAACTTGCTGGATTGGTATGTGCAATTTGCTAAGTATAAATATAACCATGAAACAACTTAAAAGTTAATAATTTTGCTGTGTAATTTAAATTACTCCATATTAACTGTGCTTTTTCTGTTGTTCAATCATATAGGATTTTTATGAAACGAACTATGTCTCACATTGCATACAAAAAATGATAAAACTGAGTAACTTTTGACAATAGAACTAAAGCACAGACAACAAAATATACAAAGAAATGAACCCTTATATTACTGGATTATATTAATATCATCACCAGTTAAGACCAAAAAGACCCACTCTGCCTCTCATATTTCTGCCAAGGGTCATTGATCTGCTGAGTCTAGACGTAAGGGGCATAGTTCAAGGCATTTTTACTGACTGCAGTGAGAATGGTTTATTTCAATTCCTTGTAGGTCATCTGTGCATTAGAGATCATATTCAGTTATGCTTTTCCTTAAGCAGATGTTTTGAACGTGTTCCAGGAACTACAGCAGACACTGGGTAGGAAAAGTCAAATAAATCATGAACCTTGTTCTATAAGAGGCCACATCATTTGTCAGTAGTGACACGTATGAAGCACATAATGACAAGGGGGCTAATGGAGGTATGCACACAGCACCAAAAATAGATCGTAGAAGGGAAGGACATTTCTAAGGATGTGATAGTATTTGGACTGAGCCTTGCTGTCTAAGTATTGTCTTACCAGATAGAGAAGGTTAAAGGATCTTCCAAGCTAAATAAAGGACACGTGAAAAAATTACCAAGGAGAGAAGGTAGTGTGCTCAAAATGAAGAAGACGGCATGGTGGCTGAAACAAAAGGCTGGAGTCATGCGCATGAATGGATAGCACGAGACAGGCACAAGACCCCTCCACATATTTATTTGGCGGGATGTGGGGGGGGGGCTGGATTTTTCCTATAAGTCAGATGTTCTCAACAACTGAGTCAGCATGTCACTGGTTGGCTGTGATGGCTAATGGAGTCCACTGTAAAATCATCAGTGGCAAAGGAAGGCAAAGGGTTTCTAAGGGTATTGTACATGGCACAAACTGCTGGTTGCCTCTATATCAGCCTTTCCCTCCTTCTAACTCCCAGAGCCCTAATTTGGGGTAGGAGCACGAATTTACCCAGAATAAAATGCACAGCTTCACAGATGCTCTTCCAGGTAGGCATGACCATGGAACACATCTGAGGCCAAGGGGACATAAATGCTTGCAGGAGGGTAAGCCTTTTTCAAAAGCAGATTAGCGGAGACAGTTTCACCTGGTAAATGGCTACTTGTTAAAATCTTATGCTTTGTGTTTAGTTTTCTTCCTGTCCTGCTCATGGATGTAATATTTTCTTTCTTTCTTTTCTTTCTTTTTCTTTCTTTCTTTCTTTCTTTCTTTCTTTCTTTCTTTTTCTTTTTTTCTTTTTTTTTTTTTTTTTTTTTTGTTGGTCTTTTTGAAACAGGGTCTCCCTGTAGCCCCAGCTGTCCAGAGATGTGCCTGCCTCTGCCTTCCGAGTGCTGGGATTAAAGGCCTGTGCCACCATGCCCAGCAGATGTAATCTTTTTAGAGACAAAGGTCCTTGAAAATCAAGGTTACCTGATAAGCATGGTGAATGAATGGCAGAAAATGTGAGGGATCCTGCTAATCTCCTAAGGCAGCTGCACATGCCTACATCGGCTTCTTTTTGAGTCAGGGTCTCCCTGTAGCTCCAGATGGCCTATTTTGCCAAACCACTGCAATAGTATTTCCATTGCATCCTGTTAATCTCCAATCTAAAATATGAACGTAAGGTCAGGTTTAGAAATCATACTCTTTTAAGTGGTACTCATTCAGATGTGCTTTCTGGAAGGAGAAAAGAATGAATTGTGATGAGAATATTTAACAAATGCATTCCAGAAAAGAACAGTTGAGAATCAGTATTAGAAAAAAAGGACCCAGGCTGGAGGTATAGCTCATTTGGTAGTTTGCCTAGCATGCATGAAGCCCTGGGCTCGATTCCAGCATCACATAAACCCAACATGGTGGAGGCTATTGCAATCCTAGCACATAGGAGGTAGAGACAGGAGGATCAGAGTTCCAAGGTCATCCTTGGCTACATAGCTAGTTCAAGGCCAGCCTGGACTATGGTGAGGCCTTGTCTCAAAGAAAACACAAGAGGAACTGAGAGGAGATGAAGGAAGAGGGGAGGAGAGGAACCTGTAATGGTTTTGTATCAGGAAAAAGGCATGCCACAATTGAAGCTTAGAAAAAGAATTCTGATGTTATCATAGAGGATATATTTGCATGATCAGGAACAGTTTGGCATAGTGGTTTAGAGAAAATTTAGAGTATCGTATTTCCAGGGTTCAAACTCTTGTCCCACTATTTTATACTTAAAAAGGATTGAGTTAGTTTCTAGAAAAAAAATAAGCATTGAGTTTTCTTCATCTGTCAAGGATCATATAATAGAATATCATGGGCTGGGTGGATAACATACAACAGAATTTTATTTCTCAAAGTACAGGAAGCTGGAAGCCTAATATCAAGGTGTCAATATTTAGTGTCTGGTGACAGCCTGCTTCCTGGTTTCCAGGAAGCTGTGTCCTCACATGACAGAAGGGTTAAGGCAGGTTTCCAGTGTCCCTTTCAGAAGGGCACTAATCTTGTTCTTTAGTGCAGGGCCCCTCTCAAAGGCCTCGGCCCATTTTAGGGGTGAATATGAATATGAATTCATATATGAATATGAATTCATTTCCACATGAATATGGGGGAAATGCAAATATTCAGTCCATACCATAGTGGGGGTTCATGTGTGGCTAATCATTCATTAACTGAAATTTATAAACAAGTATGCCGCGTGGAGAACATACAAAGTTAGCTAACGGCACAACTGCATCAACTAGAGGTCAGTTTTTCTGCTATGCCATTTGCACAGTTAGTTTTACTCCTTCCAAATCAAGCTGCATTGGCATCCAACAAAATGCTTTTGGAGAAATGAAAAAGCTTGATGAGTATGCACCCAATCAGTAGCTTATTTTCAGTGTCTGCAATTCCGCATCACTCCCTTTGCGCTTTTTGAACTATGTTCATTTGCAACATATAAGACAACAATAGTAAATAATCCTAACCCAGTAAGAAGACATAAAAAAAATAGCTTAAGCTCTTGTAAATTTTTGACACCAACAGAACACTTCCCTTGTCTGGGCCAGTTGGCGTCCATTGCTTTTTATATGCAGTACAATGCACTGCTGTCGTCAATAAGCCAAATGCAAGCTCTTCCAGAGAGGCATCAGCATGATGTCTGTTTCCTTCGGAGAGTCAGGCATATCATCTATTATGCTGTAATATGCCACAAGACCTAGCAGGCTGTTTTAGCATCTTGAACACACAACACAGAAACCGTGGGCTCCAATGGAGATGTAAGCAGCATATCAGCCATTTACTTTGGTTTTCCTCGTATTCCCTCTGTGATTTAAAACAATTTTGTAGTCATATTGGTAAGATAAACTTACGGGACCAGTGAGTTGTAGCAGCAAATGGCACTTCAGAGAACCCATAATAGACAACAGCTGTGAAGAGCATGCAACACACGTATACCTTTTTTTTCCTTGTAATTGACGATTTCAGCCTTAGTAACTCATTTCTGCTTAGGATTTGGCAACAAATGTCAGGTACCTACATTGATTTTATTTCTCTACAATTCATAAAATCTATTCAAAAGACCATTCTAGCCTAGGCATGATCCATGATTTGGCCATATTTTAATTTAAAAAGTTAAATATTGAGTTTATGTCAATGATAATCACCTCTTTAAAGAAAAATTAGGACCAAGTAGGGAATGGAACAA